GCATTCCTGTGCTTAGGTCAGCATCTGAACCAAAAACATCCATTTTCACAGTGGTTCAGCTTAGAATAGAGTGGGCTTTCTCTCCTGTCAAAGTGACTAAAACCTTGATAGGGTATAGATGAAGATTATTATTTTGTTTTGGGGATGACTTTGCTTTTCTAAAAATTAAGCTTGTGTAAATTTTGAAATGAAACATTTTGCAAATTAATTCAAAATTAATTGCCTGGATACCATAAAACAAAGCAGATCTGATTTTCCCCTGCTTTCCAGAACTAGCTGCAACATATGTCTCAGGCACCCTTTTTCAATAAATGAGCTATTCATATAAAAAATGTCTGCCTGTACTTTGAAATAGGAGGTAGGGGTTTTTTTTTTCTTTATACTCTTATATAGGATGTGGTAGGAAAGGATGTGACCAGTAACATTCTTCGTGGGCCATAAGGATGTGGCTGGCATTTTGCAGAGGGAGGTGGGATGTGGGCTCCTTCCAGCTTGAGATATTTTATGATTCTATGCAGGTGCTGGATAGCCACCGAGGTTTTTTTGAGTCTAAAACTAAAGAATAATTGGGGAGTGAACCCAGAGTGGACAAACAGGGAGACACAAAGCAGATGAAGGTGGCATCAGGGTGTGTAGTAGATCTTCACAGTGTCACCACACCTGGATCTGTCGCCCTCCACCAGCGCTCTTGGCACTGAAATGATGTGGTGGCAGAGCAGAAGGGACCTGGGGAAACAGGAATGAGGCTGAGTGCTAGGTTCCCAAATTACTTGTTTATAATTACTGCAGCCTCTTTGAGAAGACAGTCCCAAAGGCAGCACTCACACTCATAACACAAAATCACTCAGTCAAAAAAAAACATCCCAGAGCAATGAGGACCATCCCTGAGCTGGCAGGGTGTTTGACCAGACTCCAGATGCATGGCTTCCCTCCTCTGTTCCTGGGCACCGTGACAGAGAGGTGCTTGTGACGGTGAAGCCAGAAGATGCCCCAGGTCATTGCTAGACCCTACAGCACAGAATTCAGCTGCTTTACCCAGGAACTACAGCTTGGTCTCTGGAGGTTAAAGAAGATCACTTCATGTTTGTGCTTCCTACATCAAGGTGGTTTGGGAGAGAATGGTAATTCAGAGCAGGGCGGGTAGTGGGACCAACTTGTTTCCATTCCTCCCTCTTCACTGTGAGTCTGTCCTTCATGGTATAAATCCTCTACAGGCAAAAATTAAGGTCTTTCGTCAGTACAGAAAAAACAACAGATAATTTTTCATCCAAATTTTTGCTGTTCAATGCATCAGGTTTCTCCTAAAATCCTGGGAGTTGAACCACCTCCCTCCAGTGATCAGAACTGTTTTCTAAGAGGTTTCCTAGATAACCTGTCTGCTTTCCTTAAGTTAGTCCAGCTGGACCTCTTTCTCTGAATGGTCTGGCTTCTTTGACTTTCCAGACGATGACATGCTTATGTAAATGGTGTTTTTAAAATTTTCTTTTATGGCAAAGGTTTCACAACTTCCTTTCCGATGTCTTACAAACTACAGAAATGGCATCCTGGAGGACCTCAGTCATTTATAACATGGATGAATGAAGCATCACTCAGCTTTTGAGATCAATATTAGTTCAGTTTTACAGATGGTCTGTAAGGAAAAACAGCTTGAAGTTTCATGCAGAGCTCAGAGTAGAAAAAAAAGCCATTAGTTTTTTGAAATAATTTCCTTGCTATTGAGCTATGAAATGTCAGTATTCATTGCAAACCTTAATTCCCTCTTTAGTCATAACATTTTTGGTCCTATTACACTACAGATTTATTTTCTTTTACACCACATGGGTTTTTTTTTTCCTGTTTTCTGTGTCATTTGTGTTTTGTTAAGAAGAACCTTAAGTAAAATGAATGGAAATAAATTACATGTGAGTGGGTTCAGATAAAAAAGGTTATTTGTCATTATAGCAATGGGATTATGGAGCTGCCCACTGTAGGTGACGACAGGGACAAAATCCCAGCTAGTTCTGGGATAGAGCTAAGTTGGTTCATTAGAAGTAACAATAATATGATATATTGTATTATGGTATGTAAAAAAAATTCCTTTCCTATCTTTTGTTCAGCATATCATGAGTAGGATACAGTCAGATGCTGACCTTTAAGCTTGGAAGCCAGAGTGGTGTTACTGGTGCTTTATATCTGCAGGAGGTATTTTGATTCCTGTCCCAGAACCTGTTGGAGTTGGGAGGTTGGAAGTGAGCCTTGCATGTGTCAGCTAAAGTTTGAGCTCAGCATTTCCAAAGCTCTGCTGAGACACCAGGACCCTGGAATAGCATGTTCCTAAGCACCTCTCTCCTCCGGCTGCTGTTTTTCAGGTTTATGTCGCCATGCAGCACTATGGAGTGAACGGTTACTCCCTCCATGCCATGAATTCACTGAGCGCCATGTACAACCTCCACCAGCAGGCAGCTCAGCAAGCCCAGCACACCCCCGACTACAGGCCCTCGGTGCATGCCCTCACCCTGGCAGAGAGACTGGCTGGTAAGAACAACTCATAGCTTTTGCTCTTCCCTGGGAAAAAAAAGAAAAAAAACCACCTTGTTGCTTGCACTGAGTGAAACTCTTCTTCAGGAGTTGGAGTGTGGCATAGCCAACTGGCATGGTGTGCTCCTGAATACCGGCCATGTGGCCAAGCTCTGCAGGTGACACATGGCCTCCAGTGCTCGCTGCCAGCAGACCGCTGCACCTTGCTGCAGACTGGCCTCCGATGGCTGGGGAGCCTGGGGGTGAGAAGGGACGCAGCCCTGCTATATGGGATTGAAAAGAGAGAATTAAAAATATACTGAAATATGTTTTAACAAGTGAACAAAAAATAGCAGAAAATTTTACTTTCTTGTTATTAAATAACAACACAATGAATATGAGCATGCAGTGAATTGGATTCCCCCACTGAGGGGCCCAGGACTTGCATCCCCTAACAGCCATGTCCTGCCATCCCAGGCCATAGCTTGTTCTTCCATGTTGCCCCTTCTTGCAACTATTTACCATTTCTTGTCTTACCAAACACACTTTCTCTCTGGAAAACAATCTTCATTTGGATCTTCTTTTGGTCTCACCTTGACCTATTTCTTCCTGAGGATCCTAGACCTTAGCTTGGGTGATGCTTTCTTGCAGGTCCTGCTGGCTCACTCTCTGTTGCTGTTGTATTTTGCCTTCCGTAAAAGAACTTTTTTAGGCTCAAAGAAAATCGCATGTGACTTTACCCAGAGAGTGTTATTTACACAGCATTGTTGATGGTGGGACAGTGGGACAGGAACTGCTGCCCCAGAGCATCTGATCTGTTTTTCTGTGTTCAGCCACAAGTGTAACAGCACTATACCCATATTGTCATTAGAAGGAAGTGCAAAGTCCAGATAGTATTTTATGATTTGGTAAGAAGAATTGTTCAAAAATAATTGATGGAGACCTAAGAATATATTGGTATGGTACGGCAAATATATTTGCTCTACATTTCAGCCTACCACAAAACACCCAGATCTGGCTGAGATCATCAAAGGCTACTGCAAGGCAAATGGTCAACAGCTGCAACATCACCGTTTTGGTGAGGACTTGGATGCAGTGTGGTAGAGCAGACCTGACAACCAGTATACTGAAGCTAAAGCAAGAAGTTACCGTAGATGTGATTCTAGAGACCTTCCCAGAATGGAACAATCTTCCCTGACTGCCTGAAAACTACACATCTGCTTTAAGATAGCTTTCTAGTTGTCTGATATTAAAGAAAAAAAATGTGGAGTGACTCCTTCCAGCCTAGAGTAGGTGGAAAAAAATTATCTACTCAGACAACTTTAGTGGGCTAAATTTAAGAGACATGGGCTTAAGCCAAAATAAGGATCTCAAATCTTCATGCCAGCAATGTTCCCTTATCCAGCTGATAGTAGTGACCTCCTTAACATGGTTCCTCAGACCACTCACTGTGGCCTGTGGGATCTCTGGGGAGCTGCAGGGCAGAGCTGGGAGTCGCTGTCCTCATAGAAAAAGAACCAAAGTGGGATCAAGCAGACCTGGACTCTAATCCTGGCTCCACTGCTGGGCTGCAGAGTGATGACTGGTGGGCACTTTCCTTGTCCTGGTTGTCCATGCCCTCCTTCCCTCACCCTTTCAGCGTGTGAGTGGTCAGACGGGAGCAGATGGTCCTGAACTCTGCAATGTGCCTTGCAGACCTTGCGTCTCAAGGTACCCCTTTCCTAGATGCAAGGATCTCTTGAAAGATTTTTGTGATCACCTGTATCTTTTACAGCAGAGCATGGAGGACTTAATGTCTTTGACCTTAACTAGAGTAAAAGGAGAGGGAGATTAAAAAAAAAAAAAAAAGAATAAAAAAGCTATTCTCATATTCTTGACCAGGAGATTCAATTGGTTTTCTGACCTCTTATCTTTAAAATTAATAACCCACCTGGAAGACTTTCCAAATTAAATCCCACGGTCCCCTTGTCTGCTTAGCACTGGCGGGATAGGCATTATATATCTACAAGCTGGTTCCTTTGCAGTTGCTTCACATTCTATTACTTCTGAATATCTTTCAGTTCAGGTTATAGATCTCATTTGCCTTCCAGGGACAGTCAGAATAAAGCAGCACAAAAGCAAATGACCTTAAGTCAGAAAACAGAGGTTTCTGATTGTAACTGCAAAGCGTCACCTGCAATTTATATTCTCCTTCTTGCACAAAGCCTGAAAACATAGTTAAAACATTAAAATAATTGCTGGTTGGCTTTCATTGGAGTGGCCAAACTTAATGCATGAGCTGCCGCCTCTGGGGAGCTGGTAGGTCTAACCTCTACTCCAGAAATTCGGGAATATTCCAGCCTGCAGGTAGGGTGTTTAACCAGTGTCCTTTCTCCTGATTTCTTGTACTTGAAACACAAATGTTAGCTTTGTAAAACATTTTGGGGTAGCTTCAATTTCTCATCCTGGAACATCCCTTCTTCCTTCCTGGCTGTACTGTGAGCTGTGTTTGAATGCATCAAGGACAGTCTCTTTGCCTCCAAAGTGGCAGCTATTACCAGCGTTTTAACTCCCCGAGGAGCTCCGATACCTCGAGCACAAAAGTCTCTTGTATGCAACCAACACTATATTGTATTTGGCCGAAGACCTTTAGCCTGATCACATCTTTTCCAGGTTGCCAAAAACCACGTGGCTTTGGCAATTGCCCAGAAAGTCGCTGCAAATGCTGACCTAGAATGAAACAGCTGGAAGTTTGGAAGAGGAATGCTTGAGTAGTGCAAAGCTGATTTGCTACGCTCTTTAGCCAACATATTTGGAACCTGGTTGTGTGGTTCTCGGGCTGGTCTTACAGCAGGTTTTGTTTTATTGTTTACATTCATGCCATGATGCTCGTGACAAAAGCACAAATAAACAGCAGCGAGAGCTTTCATCTGGCTCCGCACACTGATTACGCCGACTTTTCTCCCTATTATGTTGTTTTCTAGTGTGTTCATTCCTCCCTTCTACTGGAAGTCACATTCTTAACTGAATTAAAAATGATACCAGACACGACTCTTTCTGCATTTCCTCTTTGAGAGCAAACCTCTCGCCAGACTATTTCGATTCCAATGCTGTAGCACAGCATGTCCCAACTTGCATAATAAAGTGGGGTTTTTTTCATTTTAAAGTAACTTATTGTCATTGATTTAAGATCTTTCTACTCCCACTAGCTGTTGTGCAATAATAACGCCTCTGGTAAAATAATAAACCCTTTACTGTTGGCCTCAGATATTCCCCAGTCTGAATTTCTTCTCTGCCCTCGATTTTGCAAGCACAGTTTGCAAAGTCAGACCTTCTGAGTAGTTTCTCTACTGAGAAGAGCTCAGCACATGAGCTCTGGGCTTGCAATCAGTGGGGCTGGGCTTGGTTCCTGGCTGGCGTTTCCACCCCAGATGCTGGAGAGTGTCTGTGCTCAGTAAAGCATTTGCTTTCAAGCTAAACACACATAAGCACGTGAGCTTAAGTGCTTTCCTGAACTGGAGCCCAGAACAGCTCTCCAATATCATGCCTTGAAGACTACAGTGAGCTACATACGAGACACTAAAGAAGAGCCAGCTCAGCCTGGCTTCTGGGAAGATGCATGTCTTCTAATGCAGCTGCAACCAACAAAACTAGAGGCAGCTGCGTTCGAGCTGCACGGACTCTTCCCACCGATCAGTGCAGCGCGTCATGGCAGCGTTGAAGCCTACCGAAGCTCTGCCCTTGGCTTCAAGGAGAACATGACAGATAATGTTGGGCCCCTCTCCTGATTACAACAGTGAATCTCCCCACCTTGTTTTTAATTGTGTTTCTTAATGAAAGAAGCTTATGCCACAGTGGGGTCTGCCCCGCTGATGTTGGAGCAGAGTGGCTTATTTCAATCAAATTTAGCATTGGAGTCTCAACACTTTCCACAGCTGCCACAGAAAGAGGTTGCCTCTCCAGAACAGGCTTTCTAGTTAGAGGTTTTATCTCCTCGGACACCTCAATTAACCAGCAAAATGCGTGTATGTGTTTTATTAGATCTAGAGCCATGACAAAAACATTTTGTAGGTTCATCTGGTGTTAGCAAGTGCTTTATTCAACTGTCAGCATACAAATTCCAATAATTAAATTGGCCACTTTTCTTGTTTTCCAACGGCTGTACATTTCAAGACATCATTTTGGAGGCACGTTATGGATCCCAGCACCGCAAACAAAGGCGAAGTCGCACGGCCTTCACCGCCCAACAACTCGAGGCGCTGGAGAAGACCTTCCAGAAGACTCACTACCCAGATGTGGTGATGAGAGAGCGGCTGGCTATGTGCACAAACCTACCTGAAGCCAGAGTCCAGGTACTGATATTTTGTGCGTTTGTGAGCGGGGATGTTTAAAAGAATATAGTGGGGTTCCCAGAGGGTTGACATTTCCCTTGACCTTTCAAGATTCTTCCAGTGTAACCAAAGATTTTGGGGCAGTAAAGCTGTCAAAGGTGGGGGTAGGGCAGGAATAAAATAATCTGAAGTCACACATCTGCTAAAGAAATTTTTAATCCTCACGCACATTTTTTAAATTTAGGATTGTCTGAAGTGTTCACTGGTTTTCATTTGTTCTTTCACATTTCTTTGAGGGAAATTTTAGAAACACCAACAGAAGTCTACTTATTTATTTATTTGCAAGGCTTTTCCGGCTTTCTCAGAAGACCAGAAACCCAAGTAATTCCAGCTGCTCTTTTCTACCAGTGTCAATATTTGTAACATCTCAGGCCAAAGTTTGGTTTTGTGGTTTTTTTTTTAGTTTCAACTAGCACAATGTGCTTCATAACCTGCTGCGGAGGTTCTTGCATTGCTGTGCTTTAAAAGACTAAATAGCAAGTTCTTCAGTGTGAAGTGGATAAGTAGTAGAAAAAAATAGTTCTTTTATATAAATGTCATTTTGATCTTCAAAATTTTTGTTTCCTCATCTCACTAACCAAACAACACTAACGAGATTTGCAAATATATTTCTTCCAATCCATGTCTACTGATATAAGTTAAAAATTATGGATTCTCTCCTCCTTCCCTAAATTCGGTTCCCAGATAACAGCTTATGCCTGTAATGACTTATTTTGAGTGCTGCTGCCATAGTTTTGGTACACTTATAACCAAATGGTTTTAGAAACTAACAGCACTGTACCGTAAGCCAATGTAATGTCATCAGACTCAGCTGTAAGACATTCTGGTTGGACAGAAGACCAGACAACTGCCTGAACAATTTAGGAAAAAAAAAAAACCAAAACCCAGAAAACACCACCAGTGGAGTGGCTTAAAGAATCAATATAAAGGCTGTGTATTTTAAAAAATATATTTGTTGTGCTGTTTGTAGAAACACTGAAAACAGGTAGAGCTCTAAGATCTAACAAAGTGGAATGACACTTGGGCACAGTGGGCTTGCAGCACCTCATTACTTGGGGTTCCCCTGAAGCTCCCAGGCTGAATGATGCTGAATTTGGCACTAAGCAGGATTCTCACCAGTTTTCCCCCTTGCTGTTTGTGGCATTGAAGGTTTGGTTCAAGAACCGGAGAGCCAAATTCCGGAAGAAACAGCGTAGCCTGCAGAAGGAGCAGCTGCAGAAGCAGAAGGACTGTGAAGGGAGCCACAGCGAGGGAAAGACAGAGCCGCCCATGCTGGAGACCCAGGCCACCACCCCAGACACCGAGAAGGTCCAGAGCCTCCCAAGCGAGGTAGGCACGGACCTCAATCTAACCCTGTCGGAGCAGTCGGCCAGCGAGTCAGCGCCCGAGGACCAGACCGACAGAGAGGAGGAGTTTAAGAGCACCTTGGAGGAGACTAAAGTGGACAAAAACCCTGGTGTGGACAGCAAGGCTTTGAACTGCAAGAGAGCAAGCCCAAAAGCAGGTGAGGGGCAGCATCTTGATGGGGGTTGGTGTCAGGACCTGGCATTTCTAAGGGGTATGCTGGTGGTTGGGTATAGTCCCTTATTCCCTATGGCGTGGGTGCTTGCAGGTAGGCTGCCCGGACTTGTCTTCTTGTCCCCAGCTCTAAACAGGACCCACAGAGGGCATGATGTCTATTGTAGCAGGAGCACAGAAAGAGCAAAGACCTGCTGCTCAGGTTAGAGCTTGGGGAGAACAGTGCCCAGCAGCAGCAGGAAAGCCATAGTGAAGAGGTCAGCCCCATTTCTATGCTGTAAGATGCTAAGTATGGAACAGACACGTTTAGCTCTCCTGAGGTAATACAACTCCTCTCATTTGCCTTCCTGATGCAAGAGAGAAGCCCACGCTGCAGTCCAAACCCTACTGGGGTGCAGATCAGCACCCGCATCCAGCCTGTAGAAATAACCCCCATCCCCTCTGTTCCCTGCTACAGAGTCCCCCATCAGCGCGACTGTGACGCCTTCATCCAGCAGTGGCCTGGCTCAGACTCACTCCTACTCCTCCTCGCCCCTGAGCCTCTTTCGCCTGCAGGAGCAATTCCGCCAGCACATGGCAGCCACCAACAACTTGGTCCATTACTCCTCCTTCGAAATGGGGACACCGTCTGCCATGCCCTACTTGGGCATGAACGTCAACATGGCACCACTGAGCTCCCTGCACTGTCAGTCGTACTACCAGTCGCTCTCTCATGCTCAGCAGGTCTGGTCCTCCCCCATCCTGCAGGCCTCCAGCTCCCTTCCAAGCCTGAACAGTAAAACGACGAGTATTGAGAACCTAAGGCTCCGGGCAAAGCAACACGCAGCATCCCTTGGGCTTGACACCCTACCCAACTGACTGCCAGATGAGCCACCATTGCCCGCCAGAAGATGCACCAGAGGTTGGCACTAGCCATGTCCCTCCGTGAACCCCCACCCACCCTCTTCTCTTCCTGGAGTAAGGTGCTCCCTTTCAGGGAAAACTTTGCATTTATTAACGTCTTATTAGCACCACAATTGCATCAGACATTGCTACTGGCCTGGTCTTCGCTAAATATTTAAGGAGGAAGGGGGAGAGGATGTATCTTTAGACAGATGAACTGTCCTCTGGACCGCCATGTGTTAAGCCTGTAACATTCAGGAGAATCCCCCTTTCCTCATCCCTGCGATAATGTGCCAACTGTGTTATATACACCTTTTTTGTTGTTGTTGCATTCTTTGGAAAAAGAAAGAGTCCTGCTTTGTCTTGTATATAGTTTATAATGTTGACAGCACCCATCACCTGTGTGTTCCTGTCAGTGTTACAGAACTGTGACCTCTTTTGCTTTTATTCCCCCTTCCTTCTCAATTTTAGTAGCTAGTATCAAAGTTACAAATCAGCCATCCTCCTGACCTCAGCTCATAGCTAGCTGGTCTTCTTGGGTCAGCATCCTAAAGGTGTTTATGATTAAGAGAAACGATTGTGCACTTCACCACCCCACTTCTCCCTTCTCTGCTAAAGTTAATTTTATAACAGCCGGGAAATGATATGAAGGTGAATTTCCTGTTTAAGCACTTCCTATAAGGCAAACATGTTTCGTTTACATTTTAATAGCACTTGTTCAAAGACAGAGGACAAAATATTGGCCAAATGCTGCTGGCTGGGGAGAAAAATGAAAGCCAAATTCACAGGATTATTTTTGATTTAGATTGTTTCCTCTTTGATCTTCAGCGAAGCGTAAACTCCTCTATTTACAAATTACAGGGTTTTCTTTTTGGAGAGGATTTTGGTCTAACTTTGACAATAGAGAATGATAAAAACTTTGTATGAACTCTTGGTGTGTTCATACACCATGAATTATATGGTTCTTTGACAAAAACTTGATTAATGCAAGCTGTGTCTAGAAAAAAGCTCTGATCACCAAATTCTACCCTTAAGCCCTGCAGCTTCAGAAACTGGTTAGCAAGTGAAAATGTAACAAGTGAAAAATGCTGAAATGCTGGAGGCAAAGCAGGTGATAAGCAGGGGCTTTATATTCTCTTTATATTTTCTGGAGCTGGGAGGGAGTAGATAAACTTGCCAAAAGTACAAGGTTTTCAAGTAATCAAAATTCACCAGCTTCAAAATAATCTCAGTGAACAGTTTCAGCCTCATTTCATTGGAGTGGCCCATCATTCAACCTGGGGTGGTTTTCCTTGTTGAGAAGCAATGTTTCTGCCAACTCGAATCACTTTTTTTTTTTTTTTTTCCCCAAACCAAATAAATCCTTTGAACCCGCTGCTGTTATCCTGAGCATTAGGGAGGGATGATATCCAGATCTAATCTCTAATGTTGCCTAGGACCAAAAAATCCAGACTGACTCGGTGGCAGGTGCTAGGTTTGAATCCCAAGAGTGTCAGCCCGGCCTGCCACTAACACGCTGAGCAGAGCTGTGCTAATTCACTTCAGATGATCAGCTGGTCCATATTTGATTTAAGCATGAAATGTAGACACATAGCCTACGGCTTTTCTTGCTCCCACCTTACTTCACACCAGGGCAGAAGCCAGGGGACAAATTACTTCTTAAAACACAGGGGGAAAGGGTGTTTTCAACTCCACTAATGCCTCTTGAAAAAAACATCTAACTCCTGCAAATAGAGATGTAAGAATAGCCAAGATTGGTGGGAAATTATGTTTTATCCCTCATAGAGTTGTAGCAAGAGCAGACCTCCAGAGAGAGCAGTTCATTGTCCACACCTGCTTCCAAGGAAAAAGGAGCATCTTCCTTAAATATTTCTGTTGTGCAAAGCACTTCAGTCCTGGGGTTTTCTCTCCTGCTTTAGTTTTCCTGACTTGTCAAATCAGCCCCCATGACTGGCAGAATTCTCCACTTTTCCAAAACTAAATGTATTCATAGGAAGTAGACTTTTTGCTGCTGTTTTCAAAGGAATCTGATTAAATTAAGACCACCAAAGTGCATTTACTGTCTCCAAAAAGATCCTCTGAAAGTCCCAGCTTTCATTTTTTGTAGTCTGTCACCCAAACCAGGGACACCAAAACAAAGCTTTAATTTTTCTCCTCCCCCTTCCTCAAAAAGCTATATTCACCTTTATTTTTTCTGCCTCCTGCTAACCTCAGCACATTTGTAGGCTATGGAATTTCTTTGCCAGAGCAGAGCAACTGCAAATTTAATTAATGCCCCTCCTGATGTTGTTCCCTGTTGCCAGTCTAGACTGAGCTGATGAAGCAAACAAGGGTGGTAACTGGCAGTGAGACCAGATCTGGACTTCAACTCTTCTTTAAGTAATAAAAGATGCCCATGAATCTGCAACTTATGTCAGTGGGTGTTTCAGGCAGAGAACAGAGGGTTGTAGTCGCTCTTGTGCCATCCCAGGTAAGACGGGCATCTCTCCTCTGCCTGGGTGCCACAGGGCTGGAAAAGGCGACATCAGCTCTGAGCAGGGCAGATGATACAGCCTTATTGTAGGTCACGATGGATACCACAGCATCTGCCACAGGAAGGTCAAAACATGTGGATTTATGCCCTGCTTCTGCAAGGCAAGGACAGAGAGTGCAGGAAATAAGCTCACTTGATCCAGCACTAGATTTGCCGTGATCTTCTGGAGGCAGAAGAGACCTTCCCCACCGAGCCATGGAGGGAAACTCTTCCCTGTTCCTCAGTGCAAAAATTCATTTTAACATTCACCACCTTCACACTTCTCAATTGACCCTGGGGCCTGACCCCCTTCGTCCCCCGTGGTACTGCTGACATCCTCACAGCAAGCTTGGAGCAGCTACTGGGAACTTCCCAGACGGAGCCGGAGCATCTGGCACGCCGTTAAAACCACAGACATCAGGATGAGGCCAGCACAGCCCAGAAAGCAAACTGGGAGAGGAGAGGTCCGGATCTCCATCACTCCCTAGGGATGTCTGGTCAGTGTCATCCTCTGTCTGCCTCTGCGTGCTGCAGCAGCTGATCGAGGTGCAGCTGGTCCTGGACCAGGGCACGAGAATATTTCTTGTGTGGAGATTATTTCTCCCATTCTGAATCAGGATGAAATATCTAAAATTTAAAAATAAACGAACGAAAAAATTGATTGCCTTAAATATATATGAGCCCCTGAAGTATTTTATGTCAAGTTTGGGGTTTATCTTCTTATAGTCAAAATCAAACATCCACAATGGGAGTAAGCTGACATGTAAAGCCAAAATTGATTTGGAAATGCAAAAAAAGCAAGAACTTAGGCTTCCAGCTTGCAAAAGTTTAATAATGAATTATCTGTCAAAACTGACTTTTTCTTGCAAAATGTTTTAATGCCTCTGGGCTTTTGGGCTTTTTCTGACAAAAAAAAAAAAAAAAAAAAAGAAAAAAAAAACACAGGGAGAAACTCTCCCTCCAGTTCAAGCCTGTGTAAATAGTGGGAAGACCGAATGGAGCGATTCTGCATCATTCCTCGTTGAACTTCACAAACCTGAAATTTTTTTCAGGCGGGAAGAACTCCTGCAAATCCCCCCTGATTTGCGATGGAGAAGGTGAGGTCTGCTTGTTCCCTTTCCTTCCGACAGCCCCGGCTATTTACTAAAATGAGGTTGTTGTTAATGAAGTCTCAGAAACAAAATGGAATGAGGTTTCCCTCCCCTCTTTGTTGAGGCAGAGATATGATGCATTTTAACAAACATTGCAGTTGGATATAACACAGTTTCTTCCATCACAGGCATAAAATGCCTGGAGTGTAACCCAGAGATCCTACCCCATCAGGCAGATGAACTATTATGGGGAAAAAAACCCCCTATCTATCTTCTCTGGATGCTGCGCCAACCTAGTGCCAGGGCAGGGCGTCCCTGGTACGGTTTCAGCCGCAGGGAGATAAATGTAAAAAGAGAAGCAACATTTTGTGTTTTGTAATGCAGACGATCAAGTTGATTTTTTATGCATGAAAGAAATGCCAAATAAATGCACAGCATGGCATGGAGGCTGAGAAAAGGATATGCCTGGTCCTTTGAACACAGTGATGGAGAGACTGGGAAAAAATCTCCCTAATTTCTATTTTGAACCAGGTTATGTATCTGGAGATTTCTTCTGCCGTTTTTTTCCCCTTCCTATGGCTTTGCTTTTGTTGTCTCTCCTTGGTGAACCAGCTACGGCTCCAAACACTACTTACTGAATTTTTAAATGTTTTAGCTACAGTCCTTGCAGGATCAGGGCCTAGGAGAAAACAGGTCACAATATTCAGGGTAAGAGTTTGCAGTTAAATTCCTTCTACTCTGCAAGAGAAGTCTGATAGGTATTTATAAAATAAAGGAGGTATTTAAACAGTGCAGGAGAAATACTAAATACTTAATTCCCATGAGAAAAGATCCAGTAATGATGCTGGGAGGCAAAAAAGGGACCTCTTTTTTCTCTTTTCTTCTTTTTTATTTTTTGGCAAACAAGTGAAAATATCCTTAATGGTGAATAGGGCAATAAAGAGACAGAGAGGTTTTGCTTGTATTTCCCCAACCAAAAATCATCATTTGCTGTGTAGGAAACACAAAACCACTCCCAAACATGAAAATAATCATCAACAAACAGATCCCCCCCCCCCATCTCATTTCTCATTTAGGTATTTCACCATGTGGAGATTTTTAACCAGCTCTAGGTTTCTGTTGCCACCACAGCCAGCCAAAGAGATGCTCATCTTTGCTGAAGAAACACCACAGTGGGTGAACACAGAGAAGGGAACTGGAGCTATTTCTGTCCCCATGTGCCATGTGTGGTACTTCCATTGACACGACAATTTTGAGCAATTTCAGGACACTTCTGAAGAGTTCATACATAAAGGATTAAATAAACTTATGTAGAAAGGAAATGCAAATTCAAATCCAACATATTCTATTAGTTTAATTACAGTAGCTATGAA